AATATGATATTCAATCTTTCATCAACTAATCTTTTTGTTATCCTCATAACCTTACTCTTTCCTGTATTCACCTTTAATTTTCTTCTTTTGCACACCCTACCAAATTCATCCACCAATCTCTGCAACTTCTCTTCAGAATCTCCCAAGAGCACAGTGTCATCAGCAAAGAGCAGCTGTGACAACTCCCACTTTGTGTGTGATTCTTTATTCTTTTAACTCCACGCCTCTTGTCAAGACCCTCGCATTTACTTCTCTTACAACCCCATCTATAAATATATTAAACAACCACGGTGAAAATCACACATCCTTGTCTATGGCCTACTTTTACTGGGAAATAATTTCCCTCTTTCCTACATACTCTAACTTGAGCCTCACTATCCTCGTAAAAACTCTTAAACTGCTTTCAGTAACCTACCTCCTACACCATACACTTGCAACATCTGCCACATTGCCCCCCTATCCACCCTGTCATACGCCTTTTCCAAATCCATAAATGCCACAAAGACCTCTTTAGCCTTATCTAAATACTGTTCACTTATATGTTTCACTGTAAACACCTGGTCCAAAAACCCCCTACCTTTCCTAAGCCTCCTTGTTCATCTGCTATCCTATTCTCTGTCTTACTCTTAATTCTTTCAATAATAACTCTACCATAACGCTTTACCAGGTATACTCAGCAGACTTATCCCCCTATAATTTTTGCACTCTCTTTTATCCCCTTTGCCTTTATACAAAGGAACTATGCATGCTCTCTGCCAATCCCTAGGTACCTTACCCTCTTCCATACATTTATTAAATAATTGCACCAACCACTCCAAAACTATATCCCCACCTGCTTTTAACATTTCTATCTTTATCCCATCAATCCCAGCTGCCTTACCCCTTTTCATTTACCTACTGCCTCACGAACTTCCCCCACACTCACAACTGGCTCTTCCTCACTCCTACAAGATGTTATTCCTCCATGTCCTATACATGAAATCACAGCTTCCCTATCTTCATCAACATTTAACAATTCCTCAAAATATTCCGTCCATCTTTCCCAATACCTCTAACTCTCCATTTAATAACTCTCCTCTCCTATTTTTAACTGACAAATCCATTTGTTCTCTAGGCTTTCTTAACTTGTTAATCTCACTCCAAAACTTTTTCTTATTTTTCAACAAAATTTGTTGATAACATCTCACCCACTCTCTCATTTGCTCTCTTTTTTACATTGCTTCACCACTCTCTTAACCTCTCTCTTTTTCTCCATATACTCTTCCCTCCTTTCATCACTTCTACTTTGTAAAAACTTCTCAAATGCTAACTTTTTCTCCCTTACTACTCTCTTTACATCATCATTCCACCAATCGCTCCTCTTTCCCTCCCACACCCACTTTCCTGTAACCACAAACTTCTGCTGAACACTCCAACACTACATTTTTTAAACATACCCCATACCTCTTCGACCCCCATTGCCTATTGCTCTCATTAGCCCATCTATCCTCCAATAGCTGTTTATATCTTACCCTCACTGCCTCCTCTTTTAGTTTATAAACACCCTTTACCTCTCTCTTCCCTGATGCTTCTATTCTCCTTGTATCCCATCTACCTTTTACTCTCAGTGTAGCTACAACTAGAAAGTGATCTGATATATCTGTGGCCCCTCTATAAACATGTACATCCTGAAGTCTACTCAACAGTCTTTTATCTACCATACATAATCCAACAAACTACTGTCATTTTCGCCCTACATCATATCTTGTATACTTATTTATCCTCTTTTTCATAAAATATGTATTACTATAACTAAACCCCTTTCTATACAAAGTTCAATCAAAGGGCTCCCATTATCATTTACACCTGGCACCCCAAACTTAAACCCACCACACCCTCTCTAAAAGTTTCTCCTACTTTAGTATTCATGTCCCCTACCACAATTACTCTCTCACTTGGTTCAAAGGCTCCTATACATTCACTTAACATCTCCCAAAATCTCTCTCTCTCCTCTGCATTCCTCTCTTCTCCCGGTGCATACACGCTTATTATGACCCACTTCTCGCATCCAACCTTTACTTTAATCCACATAATTCTTGAATTTACACATTCATATTCTCTTTTCTCCTTCCATAACTGGTCATTTAACATTACTGCTACCCCTTCCTTTCCTCTAACTCTCTCAGATACTCCAGATTTAATCCCATTTATTTCCCCCCACTGAAACTCTCCTACCCCCTTCAGCTTTGTTTCGCTTAGGGCCAGGACATCCAACTTCTTTTCATTCAAAACATCAGCAATCATCTGTTTCTTGTCATCCGCACTACATCCACGCACATTTAAGCATCCCAGTTTTATAAAGTTTTTCTTCTTCTCTTTTTTAGTAAGTGTCTACAGGAGAAGGGGTTACTAGCCCATTGCTCCCGGCAGTTTAGTCGCCTCATACGACACGCATGGCTTACGGAGGAAAGATTCTTTTCCACTTCCCCATGAACAATAGAAGAAATAAAGAAGAACAAGAGCTATTTAGAAAAAGGGAAAAAACCTAGATGTATGTATATATATATTATGATGTGCGTGTCTGTGAAGTGTGACCAAAGTGTAGTAATGGAGTAGCAAGATATCCTGTTATCTAGCGTGTTTATGAGACAAAAAAAAGAAACCAGCAATCCTACCATCATGCAAAAACAGTTACAGGTTTCTGTTTCACAGCCCATCTGGAGGACGGTAGTACTTCCCTGGGTGGTTGTCTCTACCAACCTACTACCTATAATATTTATATATATTATATATATATATATATATATATATATATATTATATACATAATATATATATATATATATTTTTATATATATATATATATATATATATATATTATATATATATATATTAAAATAATATTTTATATATTATATATATAATATATTATAATATATATAATATATATATATATTATATATATATATATATATATATATATATATGTATGTATATATTTATATATATATATATACATTATATATATAATATTATTTTATTTTATATATATATTATATTATATTATATATTATATATAAAATTATATATATATATATATATATAATGTACACAACACATACTCACATTTCACATATATGCACATATACACAAAACTAATATACTTATATATGCACAAGACACATACTTACACACATACACATACACATACACACACACAACAACACACACACACACACACACACACACACACACACACACACACACACACACACACCCCACACCACACACAACCCCAACACACACACTTTACACACAACCCCACACACAGGAGGAGCTGTGAATCAACCCCTGCACCTACATATAGGTGAGTACACACAGACTTACCATCTGGGCAGGATGAGAGGCGGGAGGCTGGATGGAGATGGGCGTGGGTATGGGCTAGGAGCTGGGGCAGGGCGTACAAGAGAGCCAGCATCCACACGCCCAAGATAAGCCTCACGCTGCGTCCACGAGTGATGGTCATGGAGTAGTGAAGAGGAGAGGTGACAGCGCAGTACCTTCAAGGAGAACCATCAGGGTATTAATCTACCAGTACAACGTTGCTGTTGGTGTGGTTGTCGTGGTGGACGTGGATTTTCTTGGTGGTGGTGGTTGTTGTTATTGTTGTGGCTGCTGTCGTGGTAGGGGTTGTTGTCATTGTTTTGGTGACGTTTGTTGCTGATGTTCTTGTGGTAGTGGTGGTTGTTTTTGTAGTTGTGATTGTTGTAGTGGTCATAATAATAATTATTATTATTATTATTATTATTATTGTTGTAAATAATCATCATCATCATTTCAGTAACTATTATTATTACTATGTATCCCCTTTCTTGTAATACATGAAATATTGTGCTGATACGCTAGAACACATTAGCTGATGTCTTGCACTAGTTAGTCAGCAACTTTCCCTGAGTCGTCTAAATTCCACCTACTTCACCTAACTGCCGTGCAACACGCTTCGTTTGAAGACTACCAGAAGAAGCATTCTCCGGTTATTGCATGGAATACAACGATTCCATGCTTTGCTAATTACGTTAACATGCTAATATAATTGTACTTGCTTAACCTCAGCATGGAAGGCATCGTTCCTGTCTTATGATGCCTCGGTCTTTATGCCTTGATTTCGTTCATTTAAGGCATTTTATTACGGACGCTAATACCAAGCCTTTCTGAAAATAAAACTGATAAACCATCTACCACCTACACACTACAGTAACAATCCCAACCTTCTTTTTTGTAGGATACACCAGTGTTGAAAGTTTGAACCCGATCAGAAGAGGCATGTTCAAATTACTGCACTACTATTCCGCTATTATTGCCCTACTACTGTTCTCTTCATATTTATTCTCCTCTGCATTTGACCGAAGAAGTTTATTGCATAGACGAAACACTTCAACAATCAACATACCAAACTGTCCGAATATGATAATGCACATAATATCAATAAATTTATAAGTAAGTAATTTATCTTTATTCCGAAACGATTCGCCTACACAGTACAATAGGCTTCTTCGGTGGAATACAGAGGAAGCAGTAGAGAATTACAGACGACGTAATGAATCCATTACCCTCGAAGACGCAGTTTTGAGGTGGTCAGTCCCTCAGACTGGAAAAGAGTTATGCTATATAGTCTGGAACGATGTTCTAAACTGTTGTAGATGCGTCTTACTTATCAAACCCAGCTGTTGCACATGTGTCTTACTTATCAAACCCAGCTGTTGCACATGTGTCTTACTTATCAAACCAGCTGTTGCACATGTGTCTTATTTATCATACCCGGCTGTCTTACCAACCGCTGGCTTGCCAGAGTTGCTGTTAGTTATCCACCTCATCCATTGATTAAAGAATCCCACTATCGTCTCCATAAATTATTCTCTGTGCTCTTCCTGTACGTCTGTCTTCGCATTTATCACAGATAAGACGATGTTGTTTCATTGTTTATGTTTTTATAAATTGATTCGTGTGGAACACTGCAGGAAA